TCTGCTTTTAGTCATCACTACTTTATTTCAGAACAGAGCAAACCCTGTTCTTCAACCCCCCCCACCCCCACCGGAGCCCTAAGGGCTACCTGAGACTTCTTTTGTCTCCTCCTTTGATTCTTTTCTTTCTGGATTTATCAGAGACATCCACTCTCAAGGCTGCTAAGAGGTAGTTTAGTAATGTTTTTTTTTTTTTTTTCATTCTCTTCTTGAACCACCTGACATTGCAGGAACAGTGAAAGTCATTAACACTCAATTTTATTTTGCAGGAAAAAGAACTCACATTTTTTTTTAGCAGAATATCAAATCAGAATGATCCAGAAAGACAGTTAAGTTTTATTATTCTCAGTATCACTGCACAGGCAGTGAATCAGTTTATTACAGTGCGCACTATGAAATGTGACAAAGTGCTATATTACTGTTAGATAACCTTTGAGCTGCTTATCATGTCTACCAGCTAGCAAGTTACTGACATTGCAGTTTGTGAAGCCCTGCAATGCCAAGACTCTGAACAACTGGATCTAAGGTCACAAAAACCAATAAGTACCTAATTTGCCACTGACACAGCTCAATTGGACAAATTTCCTCAGCAATTTCTCTCAGAAGCTTTTTGTTGGGAAATTATCCTTTTTCTAAGAAAAAAGAAATGTCTCTTCATCTCTTTGCTTCTTCCTTTTCTTTCTTTCCTATTCACTGTGATGCCTGATGGATTATTTTTCCTTCCTGGCTGAGGAGGAGGAGGCAATATTCCTTACTTTGACCTGCACATGTTCAGCTCTCTGCCATTTGTCTTCTAATTCTATAAAAACATCTTTTATTTTTAAAATTGGCAAATAGACACTGGCTGTTCATTATTTCTAAGACTACCATTGCATTGCCACTTACTTCAGAATGCTACATCCACTAAGATTTTTGTAATACAGATTTCAGAACAGAAAATTCAGGATAAAATTTGACTATTTAAAATCCATTGTTATAGAAAATTATCATTCACTCTAACCGCAATGAGGAGAGATTTGGAGACACTTTCTGTGAACTAGGCATTTTTCATTACAATTTATGAATGTACATTTCTTACTAGTATTTAATTTCTCTAAAATCACTCTTCTCTTTTATAAAGCATTAAAAATGAGGAGAAGGAGGATGAGTGAATTTGAAGTCTTTTTTCTTTCATCAGGTTCTTTCCTTTAGGAGACTTGTGTCTCATCCACAGGTAGGCGTTCAAAACATAGTTAAGCAATGTTGGATACTATAAATGGAAGTGATGTGACTGATGACTATAGAATGTCAATTGCTTTCACTTTCTGGGGGATCTGGAAAGGGCTAATACTCCTGTCCACAGGAGGAGGGGCTAAGTGTTCTAGTTTTTCAGTGAGTGATTTAACTTGGCTGAAGGACCCTCTCATCATGCTGAAATCTAGTGTACCCTAACCTGTGGTGATCATCGATTGCTAGTGTTTAGAATGGCTAGTGAAGTATCTTCATCTGGAATATGGGAAAACACAGCAGCCTATTTATTCCTAGGTTTCTGGGACTGCAACCTCATCTCCTTTTTTTTTTATTTGTCTATTTTCTTTTTTTATTATTTCTTTTTTTATTGGTTGTTCAAAACATTACAAAGCTCTTGACATATCATATTTCATACATTATATTCAAGTTGGTTATGAACTCCCAATTTTACCCCAAATACAGATTGCAGAATCACATCGGTTACACATCCACATTTTTACATAATGCCCTATTGGTAACTGTTGTATTCTGCTACCTTTCCTATCAACCTCATCTTCTAACCAGCATTGACCCAAAGGTTTTACAAATTAATGTTTAATATCCAATGATTCCAATTTAGTGATTGTCTATAGTGTCACTTGTAGCATTTGATGGTGGAATACATAATGGCTAAATACTTTCAAATGATGACATTGGAATGCTACTTTCCTTTATGAACTTCAACTATTTGAAATAATTTAGCAAATCATCAGTGAATTCTGGTAAAACCCACTCTAATTCCTAATCTAATGTAGGAAAATGCATATTTTCTGCCACCCATTAAAAATATGAGACAAAAAATTTCATATGCCCTTCCTTCCTCTGTTTTTTTCCCTTCCCTTCCTCTCTCCCTTCCTCCCTTTTTTACTTATTTGTCTATGTGTGTATGTGTGTGTGGTGGATCCCATTCAAGATCTACGTTGGACTAATGTTTGAGTAACTTTGCCTGAAGCGTTAGTCCATGCAAAATCCATCCATTCATTTGTCTGACCACCCATCTATCATCTATCCATCCATCCACTAATTTGTTATAGCCAACCAGCTATTGATCTACATCCATTGATCCATTATTCACTGAGTTGAGTTCCTATGCTGGGTTGAGTCCAGGTCAATTGTTTTAAATTTGGATTTTTCTTTTGAGTTCCTCATTATGAAATTCAGGTCAAAAATTGAGAACGGAGTTGGGTATGGTGGTGCATGCTTCTAATGATACTAGTGACTTGGGAGACTCAGGCAGGTGGATCACAAGTTTGAGATCAGATTCACCAATTTAGTGAGGCACTAAGCAATATAGTGAGACCATGTCTCAAAACAACAACAAAAATAAAATAAACAAAAATTTGAAAACAAAAAGGACTGAGGATGTAGCTCAGTGGTAAAGTGCCCCTGGTTTCAAGTCCCAGGACCAAAAAAAGAAAAAATCGAGAATGGGTGGTGCATGAATACAAAAAAAAAAAAAAAAAACATGTATCTGGAATCATCTTTATCATATCTGAAGGCACTTGTCAGTTTGTCTAATTGTTGGTGGAGTTCATCAGATTTCCTCTTTGGCAAAATAGAAGTGTCTTTTTTGTAATTAATACATTATTTGTGGAGCTGATATTTTGAGACCATGTGAATATCCTGTTCCTCAATAATCTCTTACTAGTATCTATTGATGAGCTCCATTGGAATCAATTATTACTGCAGTTGTGGTTTTCTATTCCTATTACCCTTTCTATATTATTTGGCATTCTTCTGTAAAGAAGAGCTTTCTCAGCACTTTAATGATTCCCCCCAAGCCCCAGGGAATGGAGTGGGGACCCTGCCAGCCAAAACATTCCCCCCTTCCTAGCCCCCATCTCTTCTAGCCTCTCCCCTTCCCTGGTGGAGGGAGGGAGCATGAAGCTCTCACCCTTCGTGCCCCCTTGCTTGCATCTGTATATAGTGTGAGCCGCAAGTAGCCCTTCTCCTTCCCTTGCCCTTCCTCAATGTAGTGGCCTTAGATATCCCGTTTGTTAATAAAGACAAATTCAACCAGCTCCCACCAAAGAGAGAGAGAGAGAAACTTTCTCTTTTCTCTACTATTTTCTTTTTGGTGGTAATTAAACCAGGGCCTAGCACATGCTAGGCAAGTACTCTACCACTGAGCTATACTCGCAGCCCTGCTTTTAAATTTTATTTCGAGACAGGGTCTCACTAAATTGCCCAAGTTGGCATTGCACTTGGGATCCTCCTGCTTCAGCCTCCTGAGTTGCTGGGATTACAGGCTTAAACTCCTCCATTGTATTCTTTAAAGCAAATAAGAGCCAGGTGCAGTGGTGCATGCCTTTAATCCCAGCGACTCGGGAGGGTGAGGCAGGAGAATCACAAGTTCAAAGGCAGCCTCAGCAACTTAGCCAGGCCCTGAGCAACTCAGTGAGATCTTGTCTCTAATAAAATACAAAAAATGGGGCTGGGAATGTGGCTCAGTGGCTAAGTGCCCCTGGGTTCAATTCCTAGTACAAAAAAAAAAAAGTATGACTAACAGGAACTTCCATCTGAGTCATCATCAGTTCATCTTCACTACCTCTTCACCTGTCAGAGACTCATCACGGTCCCACAGTAGTGGGAGTCCACTCTGATCACCACAGGAATGTACAACATTCTAGATGAAGGATCATTTCAGATCTGCCTCTTTGGAGGTCCATAGATTCTTGGTACAAGAGAACCTTTGGCAAGTCTGAGAATCTCATGCCTAACATCATGCCTCCAGGATTCCACCACAGAGTAGTGTCCCAAAATCCAACCTGTGATGAGCCCTCAGGGAAACCCCTCTCCCTCTGGTTGCCTATAGGCACCAACCTCTCATCTTTCCCTTGCCCCATAATATCGAACATAATTGGCTCAGTTTGTTAGTCTTTCATAAGAGACAGGAAAAACTTTTGAATTTGAGGCCATAGCTTTCCATACTCCAAGGAAACATGAAGGATCTGGTTACCACTTAGGTTGGGGTAGCAGGGTCTACAAAGACTCAGAGTATGAGAAACTAAAAAGTTTATCCTGTCATGTAGAAGTTTTTGGAATGATTTGGACTTTCAGCTGTGAGTTATAATGTAATTAGGAGAATGTTCTGGGTCCAAAAATCCTGACTTACAAATTAAGACAGCTACTTTGTGATTAGTAGAGACAACCAATGATATCTGCAATTTACAACAATTACTTTCTACAAAATAATGTGAACTTTATTTCCAATATGGTATTTCAATTTGATTTTCCGTCAACATTTGCAAACCATTAATTTGTCAAATCCTATGAGAACAATTTATTGATTTTTTTAAATTCATTTTTTACTAAGTTCTCGTAGAGCTCAATTTTTCGACTTGCCAATGTACCATACATTTTCCTCACATTTCTTCATGCAGTTTTTGTGAATATACATGTATATATGTATATGCATGCACTATATTTATTCATATATATATATATTCATTTATATAGGTATTTGTATACATTTATTTTAGTTTTCTAAATAAGACTACTTCTTCCTATAAATATGTATATATTATCCATACAAAGTCTTATCTACATAGTGTCTTTTCACCTCACCAGCTCTTTATGGTCTTCAAAATTATTTGAAAGTATATAATATTGATCATTTCATCTTTTAAAGGCTCCTGTGCCCCGTTCTCTCCTCCATATTTGTACCAAAGACCATACTCAGCCATATTTTCTCCTTCTAGATTCCACTGATTCTTTTTATATGCTTTTAGGAAGAACAAAGGACCATCTGAAGTGGATGATGCAGAAGAGAAATGTGAAAACACCATCACAATTGAAAATGGCATCCCCTGCGATCCCCTGGACTTGAAGGGAGGGCACATTAATGATGTTTTTGTGACAGAGGATGAACGGCTCACCCCTCTCTGAAGGGTTGCTGTTCTGCTTCCTCAAGAAACTTAACACTTGTTTCTTTGTGACTGCTAAGCATCTTAAAATATCAAGGGCAGATTATATATTTTTATTTTGCCATTCTTCTTTTGTAAGAAATTTTGAATGTATTTGAAAGTGAAAGGTAATCAATTTTACCCATGAAGACTACTGAAATCATAGGTGGCAACTACTCAAAATATTTTTCTGACAATACAGTGTGTAGGTGTAGTCATTTGGTATTGTAGTTATTGATTTAAGAATTTCTAGAAGTAAAGTCAGAAATACATATATGTATATGTGTATATATATATATGTATGTGTGTGTGTATATATATATATATATATATATATATATATATATATTTCACACTTCAAAAACCTGAGGAAAATTAATTTTACAGTGGATAATACCTGTAACATGGTATATCAATCACTGAAAACGGATCCTTTTTTAATATTGTTTATAACACTCTGTATATGACTAAGCAAAAGTAAAAAGCAATTATTATAAACAGAATGGATAAAAATGGGAATATTGATTCACAGGATAGAAATTTTCCTGTTATACCAACAGGATATATTGCTTATCTAGTTTCTGAGTATCAGTCTCTAATAGAAGAGTTTTATTTGTTGACTATTTCTACAATATGTAAAAATTCAGTCTATGCTAATTTAATAAAGCACTAATCACCTCTTTATGATTGTGTGACTGTGGTCTGTGATTTATTTTCACACTGTGGATTACAGTCTTAATTTTTATGAGTTCTGTTTAATGTGATCTTCAACCTTAGAAATGATTTATTTTTGTTCTCTGTGTCCTTGTTTGAGGACACCTTTAGCTTTAAAACTTTATTTTGATTTAAATTTACCTTTTAATTGATACATAAAGACATAAAATTGTACATATTTATGTGGTACCATGTAATGTTTCAATATATGTATATATTGCATAATGTTTAAATCAGGCCAAAATAGCTATCTTCTCAAACACTTATCATTCTTTATGGTGAAAACATTGAAAGTCTTTTCTCTTAGCTTTTTGAAAAATACATTATAATTATCTGTAGTCACTTTAATGTGCAATAACAGCACACCAGAACTTCTTACTCCTATCCAACTATAACTTAGTGTACCCCTTGACCAACCTCTCCTCATCCTTCCTTTCCCATACTCAGCCTCTGGTAATCATCATTCTATGCTCAGCTTCCTGGAGATTGGCTTTTTTAAAAAAAAATTTTTAGATGTTGATGGGACTTTATTTTTTTAATATTTATTTTTCAGTTTTCAGTGGACACACAACATCTTTATTTTATTTTTTATATGTGGTGCTGAGGATCGAACCCAGTGCCCTGCACATGCCAGGCGAGCGCGTTACCACTTGAGCCACATCCCCAGCCCGATGGGCCTTTATTTTATTCATTTATTTTTATGTGGTGCTGAGAATCAAACCCACTGCCTCACACATGCTAAGCAAGCGCTCTACCACTGAGCCACAACCCCAGCCCTGGAAATTAGCTTTTTAGATTCTACATATGAGTGAGATCATGTGGAACTTATCTTTCTGTACCTGGCTTATTTCACTTCATAGATGATCTCCAGTTTCATTCATGATGTCACAAATGACAGGAATCCATTCTTTTTATGGCTGAGTAGTATTCTATTGTATACATATATATTGATTTCTTTCTGTTCGTCAGTTGATGGACACTTAGGTTGTTTCCATTTCTTGGCTATTGTGAATAGTGCTGCAATGAACATGGGAGTGCAAATGTGTCTTCAAAATACTGATTTCATTTCCTTGGAATATAGACTTGATTCTGCTTCTGGATAGGCCCAAAAATCATTCTAAATTCTAATAATGATTATGGAAATAAAATTTGCTATGTATTCTGCCACTGTCACCCATAGTCAAGGCTATAGCAAGTCCCTCTATCTCACCTCTCTGCCTACATCTTCAAGTCCAGTAGATATGGATTTGAAGATGAGTAGGTTTATTGGGGAGTTCTCTCAGGAGATACATCTGAGGGAAGTGAGGAAGACATCTCTGGTGTTCACACCTTCATGTAATCCCCTCCCCCGAGTGCATATCAAACCTATGACTTGCTTCTAATGAATGGAATATAGCAAAAGTGATGAGATGTTACACTTGTATTTGTTGCCCTCTGAAAGGTCACAGTAAATAAACAGAAAAACAATATATCTAAGGTATTAAAATTTCATAGGAGAGTTATTAGGAAAAAGATCTAAATATGTCTCAATTATGAAAAGGCTTGAGGAAAACTGATTCCAGGTATGTTTCTTGTTTTGAAGGCTTGGGATGAATCCATTTTAATCATTAGATCATTTCTTCACTGTTTATTCTGGTGGAGAGGGGATTTTTTTTTCTACTGGGAAATGTCTGCTTTACTAAACATCCTTGTTGGGGAGGATTTTTATGCTAGTAGAGATGTGCTATAACCTCTATAATCAATAAACAGCAAAGTAGAGCTTATGTCTCCTGCCTACTGCCTTTAACAAACACTCTGAGTAATTAGAGAGTAGTCAATCATCAACCACACTTCTCATTTTTAATTTAATGATCATGTAATGGGCCGTGATGGAACACATTATGAGGTGATATGTACTGTTGTAAAGCAAGTGGAAATACAGCTGTCATTTCACTCTCCAAATCCATAGCAAAATCTGTTTGATGAAAGTAGAAAGACAGAACATCTGAAAACCAAGTCAGTATAGAATGAGTTAGCTGAGATTGTGATACCTGGACTTGTTTCATAGAAGAAATGTAAATGGCATATAACTTGTTTTTCTTTCTGTATAGTTTCATCATCCATGTTTTCCACAAGAACTAACCAATACAAGACACCATAACATTAAAGAAAGTAGTGGGCTTGTGAAGTATCTCAGTGGTAGAGTGCTTGCCTAGCATGTGTGAGGCCCTAGGTTCCATTTCCAACAATACAAAACTGATCAGAATTCAGATGTGAATATCATCATGTGAAATGTGCACATTTATCATCATTCCTGGATAAGGAACAAGAAATAGGAGAAAATACAGGCTAAGAATAAAAAAGAAACTCAAAGTTTCAAAAATTCCCAGATTTTGTTTCAAATTTATGAGGCCCCTTAAATATAATATTTTCTCATTTTACATTTCATAAATTCACATATATCATTACTTCATTCACACAAGCAAACACATAATAGTCTTTTTTCCTTCTTTCTTAGTTTCCTTCCCTTTCTCTTCCTTTTTCCCTTCCTTAAGAATTTATTGAATTCCCAACACTCATACTAAAGATATCATACTAAATTCAGGAAATATAAGCAGGTAAAGGTCTGAAAACTGTTAAAGGATATTGACTCTGGTTAATTAAAAATAAGTCTAAAGCCACACACCTATAGTCCCAGCTACTTGGGAGGTTGAGGCAGGAGGATAACTTGAGCCCATGGATTTGAGACCAACCTGGACAACATAGACCCTATTTACAAAAAAAAGAAAAAAAGAAAGAAAGAAAAAGGTCTGTATTTGATTTCACTACCATCAACTTGCTGCTCAACTCTTTACACTCTGACTTCCATTCCACACTGTGAGGAAACTTCTCCCTCAAAGGTCATTGTGAATTGTGATTATCAAGGTCACAGCTTTTTGGTCCTCATCCTCCTAAATGTCTTTGAAGCATTTTACAGTGTAGGGAACTTGTCATCCTCTTGACACATTCTCCTTTCTTGGATTCTTTAATATGGCATTATCCTTTTCCTCCTTCACCTTTTTATGACCATTCTGAAAGAAGTCAGAGAACAAGTTGAAAGAAAGAAACAGGTGAAAATTATTTGAGTGACATTGTGTAAAGTGTAGTTGAGTTCTTAGTAGTGAAAGAAAAAAGAAAATTGCATCTTGTGCACAACGAAAGCAATAGAAAGAATACTTAAAGTTAATGTTCTCTCTGTTGGCCACAAATAGCTTGTTTGCTATCCAGAGAAGCTTTGCAGTAAGAGAGAAAAAGTGTGCAAGTAATCATTGCATATTAAAGGATGGTTGCTTCACATAGTGGTGGATAGTACCAGTGCCAGAGGAACATAATCACAGTCCTTTATCTGCAACTCCCAAATCCAAAAACCCCTTAAAACTATTTGGCTGCAACACCTGACCTGAATAGATATAATGCTATGGTTTTCATTGATTACACTTTATGATCTTTATTTGTTGTACTTAATGAAACCATCACATTAATGAACATAGAAATATTCAAATATTTAGTGATAGGATGCCTCCCTAGATCCCACTGGAAGCAAATTAATCTATGCACAGCATTACCTGCGTTGCCTAAATTCTGTCACCACTTTTGACTAACTGGGTGGCTCTAGGAAAGCAGAGTTTCATGAAAATGGAGAGAAAGCAATCAGTTAAAACACTTGTCCCAAATTTGATATGAACATACTATCTTTACAAAGGACCTAATACTTGCTATATATGCCCAATGGGTTGTTGCTAGAATGAAATAATAAAAAAGAGCAAAATTAGTAAACAAAAATGTGTGCTGTGAAATTTTATTTATTTATTTATAAAATTTTTTTAGTTGTTGATGGACCTTTATTCTATTCTTTTATTTATTTGTGGTGCTGAGAATTGAACCCAGTGCCTCACACATGTGAGGCAAACGCTCTACCACTGAGCCACAACCCCAGCCCCAAATTTTATTTATTAAAATAGATATTGAAAAGATTTAATTTAAATGAAATATTTTACTATATGAATACATATTCATATGTATGATGGCTGAATCTCAGAAGTAAGGTAACCCATCACCTAGAAAGACCCAACCATATAAATCTGGTAGGAAAATAGTGTGAGGGAACGTGGATAAAGTATCTATTTGAATTTTCAATACAAAGAAATGAAACCCGAACACTACAAAACTCTGCTGGTATAGTTGCAAAGAAAAAACTGGAGAGGGTGAGTGACAGACAGAAGGTAATTATTCCAGAATTAACTTTTATCT